GCAGGAATACGGATTGGGAACAAATGTTTGTTTGGACAAAATCCAACTCCAGGGATTGGTTTTACTGTTCCATGTAAAATCCGTTGCAAGCTCGTAAAAGCAGCAGTTGAAGAATCTAACGGGGCCTTCTCCATGGAAAAACCATGAGTTTGATGTAACGTTATACAGCTAAGAGAGTTCCTTGTGGTGGTTCACGCAGTAGTTGGGGACCCTGTGTCACACGCTGCCTGTCATTTTGGAACACAGGGATGCTCTTACGTGGTTGGTTGGCACACACGGGGATTGCTGCTGTCACTTGTTAGTACATGCTGCTATATTCATGTGTCTTCTTCATTTATTTAGAAATATCCATTTGTGCCCTAAGTAATATTTAATGAAAATTGCAACTGGTTTCTTAACAATATTGCATAGCAGTGCCATGAGCAAATCAAGCTGTAAAATGAGCTAAGCTGTTTTACATACTACAACTGCTGATAAATATTTGACTGAAAACAGTTGGCAAAAAAAGGACACAAGTGTCTTTGGGTGTGTCGATCCAACCGTCCCCACTCAGTCCAAGCATTCTGTTTGATTTGCCTAACATGTTACTCCTTTCTATTGCTGTACAGCTAATTACATTGAGCCTCTGTGCAGTGATTACCATTTGGACTAAATGCTCATATCCAAAGTCATAAAAGATTTGGATTTCATTTTCTAAGACTGCTGTTTCTGTTCTGTGCAGGATGTTCAGAAGGAGGCCGAACCTCAAGTTTATCTCAGTAAAGAAGAAGTTAAAGAGAAGATACAAAGCTATAATTCATCTGTTACTGATAAATTAAAGATGACCTTGGTAAGTTTTGCATAGGATTCCTGTAATTTTTAATAAGGAGCAGTTGAACTGTTAATTTTGTAGTGCATTGTGAGTCATTTTATTCTCAGCATCTTACATGTGAAACTGTCTCTGTTTTAATGACTTTTTAAGAGGCTCTTTCTTAGATCTAGAAATTAAATCTCCCATATGAAATGCTTTTATCCACATGGCTCCACTTATATGGATTGGAACAAACTGTAGTAGAAACAAATGCTGTGCCATTGAAAACGTTTAAGATGAACTCTCAGTTGACACTAAGATTCAAATTTGTCAGATGAAAACACTCAACTGGTGAGCATGAAGATCCATTTGTCTTGTTTGTGTGGGTAAATTTTTGTCAGGTATCTCTCCAGCAAAGATGCTCAACCAAAAAAAAAAAGTTAAAACATGCAATATTTATTATAGTAGGCTTAATTTTCTGAGTAGTCACCCCGGTTTTCAGTGTAAGGAGACTTCCTTCCCTCCACCTCTGTAATGCAGACGATACAGACAGTGGAACGCAGATAAGATTTTTCATCCCTAAGGACTGTGGACCATGTCTAAGACTCAGTCCAGCCTACTGCAGGCCATACTAATAAAATTCACACCTATCTGCCTGGCAAGCTGTTTTACAGTTGTTGTGTTGCCCAGATTTTCTGATACACTGTGTGTTCTTGTGAGTGTACAATGTGTGGAAGTTCTGAAACTCCATTATGTCCTAAACTATTTAAGCACAGCTATGTACTAAAAAGATTTTTGTTACGTGTTTGCATGCAAGTCAGGACTTACTATGCCTAACACCAGACTGCTTACAGTTTTCTAGCTCAGTAAGGTTTGATCATAGAATCATTAAGGTTGGAAAAGACCTCTAAGATCACCAAGTCCAACCATCACCCAACACTACCATGACCGCTAAACTGTGTCCTGAAGTGCCACATCTGCATGTTTTTTGAACACCTTCACGGATGGTGACTCTACCACCTCCCTGGGCAGCCTGTTCCAATGCCTCTTTCAGTCCAGTCTTTTCAGCCAGCTATTTTGTTTTTTTCAGAAGCAACTGGAACAAATAATTTGAAATGTTGAATAGATTAGCATTTATCCTCTCTCTGTTTTAATTGCAACAGGCTTTGAGCATCTAATTACCTTAGATTAATTTGACAAGCACAGCTAAAACGTGGGAGATAATTTCTGCGTTTCCGCATAAAATCAGTTGTTAAAGATGCGCGTTAGTATTCTTTTTTACTTCATATTCCTCTCTTGATGTGAAAACTTATCTCCAGTTTGTAACACCTTTTGCGTGCTGAGATCCTAACACTCTTAGAATTCAGTAGTTACTATTAAGAAAAAAATTACTATTTGGCAGACATAGCAGAAAGAATAAATGTCTGAATTATGGAAACAGTATTTTTCCTATGAGATGTCACATATTACAGCAGCATGTAAACGGTGTTCTGCCACCATCTCAGCCTGGCTGCTGGGCTCCTGTGTGGCAGCTGGTCACCGCTGCCTTTAACCGCTGGGCGCTGTCTCCTGTTGCAGAACGCGAATGGGATTTACACTGGCTTCATCAAGGTGCAGATGGAGCTGTGCAGACCGATCACTGTGCAGTCCTCCCAGAGCCAGGGGAGGTGTGCTCACAGCAATACCGAAACTGCTTTTTACCTGCCGGACGGCTGCGTGAACACCCTTCACATCAGCAGCACCAATACCGTCCGCGAAGTTATCGAGGCCTTGCTCAAAAAGTTTTTCGTGGCTGACAACCCCGCAAAGTTTGCACTTTATAAACGCTGTCACAAGGAAGACCAAGGTATAAGTTAGACTTGGGGTGGTTTTGTAGTAGAGGGGCTTGGGGAGGGAGTTGTGCTGTAGGAATGCTGGAAATAAGCAGGGTGGAAGAACTCGGGTAACGGAGGTGACAGTCTTGCTCTCTCTTGTCTGTTTTTGTTTGTTGTGAAAAGTAGCATGTGTAAGAAAGTAAACGATTTGGGGGTATTACAGGATAATTCACAGAAGACAAAAGAACCCACTAAACCATCTACAACAGGTCTCCTGTGCCTTGCAGTCCATTTATATTTTAAGTAAGATGCCCCCTCTCAGGCTCTAGATTTCAGCTAGCTGGCTATACTGCAGATTTAGGAGATCAAATTACAGGACAGATTTTGAAAAAGAGAAGCCTTGGTGACTGTGATAACTGAAGTCCTTGTGCTGACAGACAGCTCTTGAGGTGACTAGGATCATGGTCACGTGGCTTGTGTTTGAGTGTGTTAGTGCACGTGGCCATCTGAGCGTACCAACTGCTGTTAGAGTTTTGTTGTGTATTGTATTTGGAAATTCCAGAAGATGCAAAAGGCATTTTTTAGTGAAAAATGCGTTTTCCCAACGCTGTGTCCTTGCACTTAGAATCCACCCTCTTCTGTGGACATTCAGAGAGCAGTTTCAGGAGCTGAGGTGTTTCTGGCAGTCAGTCACACCAGCCATGTCAGGCAGGCAGAGTTGTCTTTTAGACTTTGTGTACAAGATTTTAAGTGGAAAAGGTATCAAGATGGTGACACCACAGCTCTGATGTCTTAAATGCTTGGTTGTAGCAACAGACCTGTGTTGTATTTTTTTCCTTGTGCTTTTCCCCCGCACGTGTTCAGGTGGTGTACTGTGACTAGAGGCCGCGCTGTTCCTGTGTGAATGCAGCGTTGTGCCCATCATCTCCTCAGCTCCTCACTAAAGCTCCTGTGCTTAAAACCAGTGTGTAAACTAATATGTAGACAGTATATACAGTGTGTAAATTTTGCAGCTAAACGTGCATAGCTTTGAAATTTTATAACATTAGCTAGCATTAATCATTCATAGTATCTGAAACATCATTGGTAAAGATGATAATTACTGTGATTTTCTTCTCCTGCAGTTTATACATGCAAGCTCTCAGACCGAGAACACCCCCTCTACCTGCGTTTGGTGGCAGGCCCCAGGACAGAAATGCTCAGTTTTGTTCTGCGTGAGCATGAAACTGGAGAAGTCATGGTATGTTTTGTGCTCATGTTGCTCTTCTGTGTGTGTTTAACTTCATGGATGAGTGGGCTCCTGTCTGAGGTGTGCTGACAAGATGATTCATTTTTTGGAAGCTGTTTTTTTTTTTTTTTTTTTTTCCCCATTGTTATATTTACTATGTGACTTTTGTAAGCATTTTATTTGTGGTTAGACTGACCCATTGTTACTTACAGAACAAAAAAAACTTTGAGAGAGTAAAATGTTTTCAGATCCCTGAGATTTGCAAGGAGGGTGCCTGGTGCTGTCTCAGTTTGAAATTGTTTTGACTGTCTGAAGTTTTGTTTAAAAATACGGTATATATAAATTATTTGTGTATATTCTGTTAATCTCATCCATTCTTTTCTCTTCTTCTGTTTCTAGTGGGAAGCTTTTAGTATTCCTGAACTGCAAAACTTCTTGCGTATACTGGACAAAGAGGAAAATAATCAACTGCAAATCTTAAAGAAGCGTTACGCAGTTTACAGAGACAAACTTGAAGAAGCCCTTGGTGGGGTGTGGAAGCCTGGTTAAAAGGGGGCCAAAGGACACTCAGGAAAAATGCACGCTACCAAATGTCAGTATAGCATGCCAAACCTAATGTACAAAGAGCAGCAGAGAGTAGTTTTCTTTATCCAGAGGACTGTTTTGTGATGCCGGGGTACCTGAATTTTGCTATAGACTTAGTTCCATAGGCCAGGTCACTTAGCATCTTGCACCCACAAGTAAGGGGTTCTGCATGTTTGTACATCAGTTTGCAACCCTCTGTGTGCCTAGAGAGTTTTCCAAGTTATCTTGGTGCAAGCTGTGAAACTGAATCAATTTTCTAGGATGCTATGAAATAAGATTTATTTTTCTTCTTTGCTTTAATGGTAGCTTTACAAGTAAGGATGTGCAAATTGATGGGTTAAATTAAAAAAAAAAAAAAAAAAAAAAAAAGGAAGAAGAAAAGACTAAAACTTTTTGGACAAGAATTAGTTGGAGCACTATCTTTGAGATGAAATTGATTTGCACTACCTTTCTGTTTTCAAATAGTTACTGTATAATTTCTGAGAGAACTGTTACAGCTGGAAGGTGTTTGAGATCTTGTGGTTTTCTGTGAAATTTGCAGAAGGCTTTAAAGTGGTCTTTCTGGAGAAGGTAAAGAGAAAGTTGAAAAGAAGGTGAGAGTTGAGGGAAGAGAACTCTTAACAGCTAACAGAGGAGTACTGGTTTTAAATGGAAATAGTATTTATGCAGAGGCAAGTTAAAATGCTAGTTCTACAAGATTAAAGTTTTAGGATGTTATAATATTGTGTATAAGTTTTATGGTTTTCTAACTGTGTAAATCCACACTGGAAAAGAAATAAAGATAATAGAAAAAATGGGAAGGAATGCGAGGCAAAAACTCAGCAAGAATGGAAATGGAGCTGCACATACAGGTCGTTATTGAAGAAGCTAGTTCCATAAATGTGTAACGGGGGTTTGAAAAGTCCAGCCAAGCTAAAAAGCTGCTTACTTGAATTCTGAAAAGTGGTCAGTGTCTCATATAACTCTGTGAGAAATGCTCATCTGCGAGTGTTTAGACATAAGCTATGACTACAGATGCATTTGGACTTCATTGTAAGTCAGATCTTTCCTCTGGCTCAGCGATCCATTTTTAGGCTGGATAATTTTGAATTATCCTATCTGAAAGACAAAAATAGCTTCCTCTGCTTCTTTGTTTGTTACAGGCTCAGTCAGGCAAAGAAAGTAGAATTTCGTATTCGTGTTTCCAGCTTTGCAGAAAGAATAACATTTATTGGCTGTGTTGGTGACTGAGCTTTGTAATTTGATTTTAGTAATTCAGAGAGTTTTTTCCTTAGGGGTTTTAAATTCTTCATTGAAAAACTGATTACCAAATTCTGCAGACTGCTGATTTACTTGATTTAAAAGTAGAAAAAATGTAGCAAGAAAACTTTTTACTTTACTGTAAATATAATTGTTGTTCTTTCAGAGTTATTTATCTAAAAAAGCATGTTCAAAAGAAACCAAAGAAGTGAAGTGGGTGTGCAATAGAAGCATGAGGCAGATTTGAGTAACTGATACCTTAGTCATTATGCCAGAGAGGAAATGAGTTATGTATTTGGGGGGGGGAAGTGGGGGGACGTAGTTGGAGGAGTGCTAAGGATTGCAGAGCAGCCGAGGTTGGAGGTTTCTTTTTTTCCCCTCCATTCTGAGGGTGTTCGTTTTAAATTCCCAAGGAATTGTTAAAACTTTGGTGACATCTAATGGATACTGTGTGAAACTCCAAGATGCTTCTGTTCTTCCCCTTTATTTGATGTAATTGTGCCTTTGTTTCCTTTCTGTAGTAAGGCTTTTTAGTTTTTAAACTCTCCACAGTTGGGTTTTTTTTTTTGGTTAAAAGAATTTTCAAGCTTAATGAGACAATCATAATGTTTTAAAGTGTTAAGAGAAATTAAGAGTAGGACTAACTATAAAGTATATATAAGGCATATCTTGTTTGTTTTTTTAATTTCACATGTAACGATGTAGTGCATGTGTAAGTTAGTAATGTTATCCTCAAGTGAGACACTTTATAATGGTTCAGGGAATGCTTTTATGTTTTGTTCCAGTTTGCTTTCATATGAATGCAGCAGCATGTCGGTGGGTATTCTGTTAACATCTACTTAATTTATGTATCTGCCCATAACTATGTAGTCATTACATAGTTGCCGTCAATATTGAACCATTTGTTGCTCAGATTTAAACACTGTTTGAGTTTAAAAGTGGAGCATAAAAATATGTGAAATTTGTTTTTACTTGAACTAAACTGTCAGTCTCTTAAGTAGGCACATCTGCATTTACTTTAGCCAAAAACCTCAATCAGTGTTGTATGCACTAATGAGTCTTGATTTGGGGAAGGGGATGGGGGAGGGGGGACCAAAATAAACGTATATTTTAATTTTGTCTTAGTCCACGTTTAATTATTGTATTATGTGGGGGGTATTTTTTTTTTTTTATTTTTTTTTTTAAAACACACTGGCAATCGCAACAGCTTTAATTTAAAAGGAAATGGACATACCTAGTCAGTTTTTCTTTTTTTTTGATTTTAGCATCAAATTGAACTCTCAAAGCTTTTGTTGTAAAACTGTTTTAATTTTGTTATGTGATGGTACCAGAATGATTAAATGATATGGGTGGGGGAGGGGGAAATGCAGAGAAACATTAAAATGTATGTCTTTAAAAACAAACATTTAAAATATTTATAATTTTGACAAGCTTAGTTTTATTTTTGTAGGGAAGCTTTTATTCCCCTTAAAGTTATTACTGAAATGTAAAAAAAAAAAAAAAAAAAAAAAAAAAAAAAGAGGTTCACATTATAAAAGTAAAAGTTAAAGTTGAAGTTGGCAATACATGATAAAAGTGATGTGTGTTTATTTTAATTCATGTTACCTGAAGATCGTGTTGTGTGCTCGCTGTGACGCAGGGTGAGACTTCCCCGCAGCAATAAATGGTGCGTGGGGAGGTGGAATTTGCCTTGAGCATAAATCCAGCTTTGCCTGGGACGACAGATACAGTGCAGTGTGTTTCCCAGTCGGATTTGTATACGTTTTTAATTTTTGGAAAGAATAACATAGAAAAATTAAAGCAATCGATTTGCTCAAATACCACAGGGGGGAGGGAACACCCCAACAACCCCAAATCTTCGAAACTAGCATGCGTACCTTGAAATTTACCTTTTCCTTCCCACATTTACCTGAGACTCCGC